GCAGTTTCAAGAAAATGCAGGCTTGATATCTAGGTTGTTGGGCTGTGTGCATTAGACATTTTGCTTGCAGTTTCAAGAAAATGCAGGCTTGATGTCTAGGTTGTTGGGCTGTCTGCATTAGGCCATTACTATGAGCAAAATTTACTCTTGCTGCTGCTCCTTTAAATACCAGCATAGTTGGGAAGTTCGGAAAGGTTAGTCTTTGGCATAAGCAGTTTTTTGGGTTTTTTTTTTTTTGTATCAGATTTGTGTAGTCTTGAATCCCGGATGGAATCAAAGGAGCAAACCGATTTAAGCCTTTAACCAGCTTGCAAGGGTATTTTAATGAAAATTAGCCTGATTCTCTCTTTGAAGTTGTGCATGTGCTGAAAAGGAATGTTACAGATACTCATTTAGATAATGCTGAGGACTTACCTACCATTACTTGACTCATGTCAGATTGCTAACTCCTGAAAGCATGTGTTTATTCTTAATCCATGTTAAAAGCAACTGTTATTTGTTCTGTTATGGTTTCTTAACCTTATTAACGTAAGTATTTCCTACTAATAGTTACATCTATGATAGTTACAATTAGTTAACTGCTGACAAATGTAAATTAAGGTAAGCTTAGTAACAGCATTTGAGATGCTGCAAGTCCAGGAGATGCTCTGTTTCAAGATTTGCATAATTATTCATTTTTGAAGTGATATTAGAAAGCGGTTGAGGTAACCTTTTGCTCTTTTACGATTCTAGTGATTCTGCAACCTAGTACTATAAACTTCAGATGTGGTTACTGGTCTCCTTTACTGTCTTTCCCGAGTTCTGTATTTCTGTCCTTGTGTCCGGCACGTTGCCCAGCAGCGGCTCATCAGGACCGCGTTTTCTCCTAGCTTCATTTCCCCTCTGTTTTGTCCAGCCTTTCCTTTTTTTCTTTTTTCACTCTCACCATCGTCGATGCCAAATCGGGAACTCTCTTATGGACACAGTAATGTCCTGTTCCTGAAGGCGCATGCTTTCCAAAAACAATCCAGTAAGATCCGTTCCTATTTCATGTTGACTCCCTGTGCACTGTTCTGTCCTACTCCAATTTTAACATAAGGTTCCCAGGACAGGAAATATGCTTTGTTTATATAAGATGAAATGCATAGATTGCCCTTGATTTATTTGAAAAGAAAATAACTGTATGCTTCATCAAGAGAACTTTAGATGTTCTGTTGTATTTTATTTCCCTTTTAGATGCACTGTCTTTGCCAGCATCAGGAATGGCAGGAGAAGCAGCAGCTCAAGAAGAACCTGACTGCCTTACAAAATATTTCAGTGTGGTGTGGTGTAAGGCATCAAACAAAAAGCACAAGAAGTGGGAAGGTGATGCTGTCCTTATTACCAAAGGAAAGTCTGTAATACTGAAGGATATGGAGGGCAAAGACATTGGAAAAGGTACTGTGTATTTTCACGTATGCGTAAGTGAAGAACTGGCTTAAAAATAATGTGCTTTGAATATAAGAAACACAGCTCTTTTGATAGAGTTCCCAATGTTAAGCTGTCGACCACAGGATGGAAAAAAAGTAGATTTTCTTTTTGGCAAAAAAGGAAAAAAAAGCTTTACACTTCTTACACACGAGGCAGGTGCATGGAGGAGGCTGGGGCAGGCTGAATAACATTATTCACAGAAACACCAAATGCTGGTCCGGGAGGCGGATCTGGAAGCGACTGCTGCACTAATTCATCAGAGCTGCCAAATGGGGCTGAGAAGCTGAATTCTGTCGCTTGAGTAATGTACTAGAAAGGTGTTAGAATTAGGGGAAGGCACACAGGTAAGTTGCTTCTAGATGTTCCAGGCAGTAATATAATAATTGGGAATGTCTGAGGCTGGCTCTGTGCTTCTCAGCTAGCCAAACAGCTAAAAATATTATCTTTGTTGGAAAGACAAGCAACAGCAACATTTTCCAGCCAAGCCAAAGTCAACTGCGTAGCAATTTTTAGTCTTGTAGTTTTAGCAGCAGCTGCTGCTGTAAGACACAGTTTGGGTTGATATCAGAGTTAAAAATAAGACTTGCAAACTATAGGCTGCAGTAAGCTCAGAAGCAGTAATTTTTTTGTTGAAAGCAAAGCAAGAATTAAATTTGCTAACTGAGCCGCAGATATTTAGCAGGGGAGTGTGATTGGACAATGTTGCTGCAACACACAATTTGATTAATTTTAGGACGTGGTTTCTCTCCGCTCTGTTACAAGGCTGACATTGAGCCTTCGTAGGACCAGGCAGTTTTAATTTGCAAATCAGTTTCTGATTTAGAAGCTAATTTGAATTCATTTACAGCAAAGCCATATGTGTACTGGCTTGCTTGTTTTTGAAGGAAGAGAGAAGGAGAGTAATGCCTGGAATGCATCAGCCACCACCCTGTTCTTTTGTGGGTGTCCTCTTTCTTTTTTTTTTTCAAGTCCTGTCCTCTTGAATTAGCAGAAGATAAAATGGGAAAATGAATTTTCTGTGTTTTTTGCTGGTAAGAATCCATTTGCTTGATGGTGTCAGGGAGCAGAGTGATGTCAATGTCATTGGTGTAACTTCCCCAGTCAGAGTTGTTTTCACTGCTCTGATGCTGCATAGCTCATTGATCCTAAGAATTCATAAATTGACCAAGTTAAGAAGTTGTAAGTTTTAAAAATTATGCAATTATTCAGCAGGTTCGCTGAGCAGGAAGGAAAAGGATTATGTCCTGTAGTGGTGATTACCTCCAGAAGTAAATTTAATACTAGAAAGTTTATGATGAGTAAGTTAGCATGAGGATTATTATTTTAAAATAAAAGAGCAAAGGAAATTCTTTTTTTTTAACTCAAGCATTTCTGGTCTGGATCTAGGAAGGGGTGTGAAAATGTAAAGACAGCACTGACTTTGGCTTGTTTTTGAAGTTAGGCAGCAGAACTTCTTGCTCTTCTTCCCTGCAGATGCCCTAATTCCTCAATAATATATTATAAAGAAATTCAGATTTTTTTTTTGAATGGAATAAAAAACACCTCCTTTTCCTTTTAGGCTAGACTGTTTTTCAACACTTGCCTAGATACCTCGGTTAATCTCTTCTTCTTAGAGGAATTCAAACCCAAATCTTCATTTCCCAGTATCTTGGGGAAAGACACTAATGCCTAGGAGACGTGGGCTTTGGAATAGTTCCCAGTTACTCTTATATGTACTGCTGGTTGGATTAAATGTGTATAACCTTGGAGAGCTTTGCACCTGCCACCGGCCAGTATTTTAAGTGCTGCTCTGCAGAGTAATGCTCTTTATTTTTTTTGAGGGGGAGGCCCAACTAAAGATTCAAGCCTGTTTACCCTAAGTGGTACAAATTTGACAGCTGGGATAAAAAATATGTCTACTTCTAATTTCAAGGTACAGATGTGGCTTTGAGCTCCCTGAGTTAGGAGGAGAAACTATATTTAAGCCTTCCATTTTTAAGTGAGAGCTTTAATTCCTAGAATGCTATTTAAAAGAAGGAAGGAACCACCACTCTTTGGTCTTAAAAGAAGGTGGCAGCTGCTGCTGTATTTTGTAGTGAGGCTAATAGTGTGTGTTAGGTGCTCTGAGAACCCCACCAAGTCCTTAAGGAGGCATGAGAGAATGCCCCAGTTCTGCTTCCTGAGAGGTTTTGGAATGAACAAAGTGCTGGGTTGATAAACCCAGTCAGAAATGAGGGTGTATATGCTTTAGGGCATGTGTGGAAGTAAAGCTTTCAGAGGTTTTGGAAACCTTAATTTTAAAAAGCTAATTTACAACAATTTTTCAATTGTTCAATCCATCTAAATCATCAACAAGCAGAACTCATGCTGTTCAGGTATGAAAGGAAGGAAAAAGACCCCAGAGCAGTCAATAGGTTTGAGCAAGTTTCAAAGTGAGGCTTATTTTTATGATTTGGTCCTGTGCTTTTTTTTTTTCTGAAATTCTCTGAAAAAATACTTGGTATTCAATAGAACGAGTCTTTAGATGTGGATGGATGATAGAAAGTTTGCTTACGTAGCCTTGTATCTCTTATAATCCTGATTGTTTTCATGGAAAAGTCAAGCTCTGGCAAGCAGAGAAAGGGTTTATGAATTCAAATGTGTAAAAATTCAATTGCTTAACAGTCCAGTACCTGTTGGCAGTTCTGATTTGTCTTCTTGCAGATGAGTATTGATGTTAAGGAAGTAGTTTGCTATGTTGATCTAATTACTAGATTTTTGTATATTTTTAGGTACTGGATATAAATCTAAAGAGCTGGAAGATCTTGATGAAGGTCAGACACTGAGGATTGGAGGAAAAGAAATTGAAGTGTTGGGTGTAATTTCAGCACAAGACTTCAACAGTGGCAGATGTTTTCAGACTGGAATAGAGACTCGTAACACAATTCCAACAGCTTTATCCCAAGCTACTACAAAACCATTCTGTAATCCATTCAAAAGACTCTGTCAGCCCAATACTGAAGACAATATGCTCAAAGATTTTCAAAGCTGCAAACCTCGCCATGATCCAAATGCTTCAAGTAAGATTTAGATTTTTAAGTTTGTTTAAGCATACTCTGTCCTATAAGAAAAGAAGTTGAGCATGTAAGCAAAATTTTTGTGTTCTGCAATGTATTACTGAAGTATTTCTGAGATACCGTAGTAATATTTTTATTAACATATTAGGACTTTATCATGTGTGCTTTTAATAAGTGTAAAAATAAACATTCTGCAATGCATAGATTTTCTCATAGTTAATGTGAGTTAATAATGAGCCAGCGTGTTTTTGGCAAGGAAAGTGAGTATATTGATCAGAGAAACGATCTGACTATGCTAGATGTCCTGCATGAGTGCCAGCTGCCCACAAGGGCCAGGGAAGTAGTGACAGAACAAGCCCCGTAGTAATTACAGTAGAGGATCAGTAATAAAGAGGTTAAGCCAGATTCAAAGAATTGCACCTGCCAGTGCCTGATCCTTCACAGCCAATAAATGCAATTAAACTGCCCAAACTTATCAAGATATACAAGATATGTTTTGGAATAAAATGTTGTTTTTTTGTGTGTGGGTTTGTTTGTTTGTTTGTTTTTCTGATGCTAGACCTACCCTGTGCTGAAGAGCCATGAGAGTTCACAAATTATGTGGAAATAGGCTGGATAAGCAGTTGTGTAAGAGGGATCTTGTAAACATTTGATAGTCACAAGAAGTGGCAGTGCTTATCTAAACAAGGAGTGCTCCTCTATCTATCCACAACAAGCCAGGCGCGCAGCCTGCTGATTAGAAACAATAGTCTGGTGAAGGCTTTATCTTTCAGATGAAAGATAAAACTGTTTAAAGAAATGTTATTAGGTGGAGCAATGTGTTACTTACAAAATAAATAAGAATACAAGTTTGTTGCACATTCTGACTACAGTTTTGCCCCATCTTATTTCTTACCTCCTATCCTGAATAGCAGTTTTCAAAGCTGCTGCTTGGCCTGCCATTCTGTGGAACTCTTATTATCCTCTCCCTTTGTAAATAAACAGTGAGATCCTAATCACGTGGTAACTAATGATATCATTTGCACTTTTGGTCTTATTAGCAGTCTTCTGATTTGTATTCAGCTTGATTCTGTTGTGTCTAACAGTGCTCCTTCCCGTGATTTCAAGATGATACTGCATTAATATCCTAACCTAAAATGTGGCAAAGAGCTGAAATAGTACCCAAATTAACTGCTTTGTTTTTACACTGCTTTGTTCAAAAGCTAGGATTTATCCTAATTGTTTTTCCTCTGTGATTTAGTTGCTGGTGAATCTGAGTACCTCTTATGAGACGGCCCAAAACTGATACAGAGAGTCCCAAATGGATCAAGAGCTGGGATCGTCAGTCATTAGCATTGCTCACACAGCAGAATCATGTCGTTTATTTCAAGTTTTGTTACAAAGCCGCTTTCAGAAGTTAACTGAAACACTTTCCTAGACTAAGGACTTAGGGATACAGTTGGGTGAATATGAACCATGTTAATTCGGTAGAGCTAACTAGTATGGATCATTCGGAGGTGTTTGTGTGGATGTCTATGACAGTAGTTGGTTGAAATGCAGTCCCTTCAGAGCAAAATGCCATTTATATCCTCTTGTTAGCAGTGCAGGGCCCACAGGACCAAGCCGTGTCTTCCATGTATGGTCTAGAAGCATTTTGTCCGTAGCTCATCTAAGCCTTGCTTTCTTATGCTGAACAATTTTGTCAGGAAAGGTATCTTGCTGTCGCTATTGCATTTTGTATATTCATCCACGCAATTTGTTGTAATCCATCAGAACTCAGCACTTCGTCACTAGGAGAAAAATACCCCCGAACAACAGAAGCCTTCAGCCAAACTACGCTCGTGAACAAAATATCAATACAGATGTACTCCAGTGGCTGGTGCCCGTTCTGCCCTCTAGCAATTCAACTTTTCAATGAGGAGTGTAAAGCAACCAAGTAAAAATGTGGTCTAGCAAAACAATGGCATTACATGAGTTTGTGAACCAATAGTAAAAACTATGGCAAGCAAAACTGTTTAGCCAGTGCCTATATTCCCATCCTTTATGCTCTCATGGGCTCTGTATGTCTTCCAGCCTGTCATGCACTCACACAGCCTTTCTCAGTCCACTTACAAATATCCCTTTATATCGCTCTTTCTGGGGCAGAGAGATCTTCCTTGGTATCTATCCTGGTATCCATTTGAAATACAGTGTCAAGATTTTAGCTAGGTCCTTGTTTTCCTTCTTTTTCCTAAATTTTTCCTTAGGAAGTCTTTTAGAGCTTCTTCTGATTAGCTCTCAAAGTAACTGTGCAACATTTATTAGGTAGGCAGTTTCATGTCATCATGCAAAATACTCAGAATATTTCCAGTTTGTCACCTCTACATTTGAGAAAAGTGCAAACCATTTTAGAGGCATATGTAAGGGATTTTTTATTTAGAAGACTATCTAGGTGCTCTGTTATTAAATATAATTTTTTGGATGAGAATGAACAACATATTAAACAGCATTTTTAGCAGTTGTCAAATTATATGTTTATTTTATAGTTAGCGAAATAACACTCTTTGTTAATAGAGTAAAAAAAATAAATGATTTGTACAATCCTTGCCTGTGTTTTGAACTTAAAGATTCTTTAGTTATGCCAAGACCAAATGCAAATCTTCAGTGGATGTTCAATAAGGCTGGTTTACCTGTGGTGGATGTAGTTGTGGATCCCTACATTGCAAATAATCTCCGACCACATCAGAAAGAAGGAGTTATATTTCTGTATGAATGTGTAATGGGAATGAGGTAAGAAGATAATTATCTTTTTGTCTTTCAAAGCATATTTTCATGTTCATGTTATAAATTCGGCAATTTGAAGAAATTGTTCAATTAATTCATATTAGCAAGTTTCACTCAGTAAAGGTTGCACGCTTTTTTTTCACATCTTCATGCTTTCTTGACTCCAGATGTGATGAGAAGCTAGTACACCAAAAGGCCGGTCAGCCCTATTAAAAATATCAAGCATTATAAAGATAGAGGAGATAGTTGCTGGTTGCTGCATTCTGGTAGTTTAGATATTTGTAACAAACAGTCTGATAAAGCAATCTGTTGGAAAAGATACAGTACTATTTTCAGAAGTCTTTTCTCAAGTGATAAATGCCTTAAGGTATACAGAAGCATTAAAAAGATAATGTATTTTGTAACATCTTTAATTCTTAACAAAAACAAATATTCAGACTACTTGGTTTTGGCATTAATCTAGAAAAGAAATGGAGTTTCACGATAAGGACTTCTGGTGTAACTGAATGAAAACCTACAGTAGAGAATAATAAGTATAAATAGGATCTTTGTACTTTGAGAAACAAAAAAAAGATCCTCAAACCAATTGTAACTAATAATATGCCATTTAAAATGTTACTGCAGCCTAATTGTTTTTTACAGAGTTAGTGGCAGATTTGGAGCTATTCTTGCTGATGAAATGGGTTTAGGAAAAACATTGCAATGCATTTCGCTTGTCTGGACTCTTCTACGTCAAGGGGTCTATGGATGCAAACCTATAGTAAAGCGAGCGCTAATTGTCACTCCTGGGAGTCTGGTAAAAAACTGGAAAAAAGAATTTCAGAAATGGCTGGGAAGTGAAAGGATCAAAGTCTTTACAGTTGATCAGGTAAGATTTGTTTGTGAAAGGGATTTTGAAAAAATCGTATTTGACCATCAGCATTGGGCTTGTTTTTGTTTTTTTGAAACCAAACCTAATGATTCTGTAGTAATATTTATCTAGAATATTTTACTTCTCCTTCAGGCAATTGTCCATGTGTCCGCTCAGCTGTCAGGGCCCAGGTAATAACTCAAGGTCTGTGTAGCATGTGTCTGTCCAGTCTTTTTCAGGCTTCACCTTTGAGGATGTAGGAGGTGGTATGGTCCTCCTTGTGCAACTTCCATTTGATTGAGAACTTTCTGTTGTATTTCACAGTGCTTTTGTGTATCAGAGCTTCTAGCCTGGCTGATTTTTCCTCAGTTTCTTTGGTAGTTCCCTCTGCTCTGTACTGAAATCCTCTTAGTTTTTGCTTCAGCTGTCTACTTCAGGTTCCTTTAGGTGGTTATTCCCTTTATTATTACTGTCAAGAGGTAGGTTTCTATAAGGATGATATATCATCTCAGAAGTTGTCAAACCTAGAGCTGCAGGCTTAGATACTGTGAGTAGCATCTCATGTCTCCAGAAAAAGCAGATAAGTACATGTGTTAGTACAAGGAGTTGGGTGAGATTGATCTCTATCCCTCCTACAGCAGAGATGTTCTGGCAGGTAAGAGTGCTCCCACGTTCCCGTATTGCCTCAATGAATCCTATGTGCTGGCAAAGTATTCCACCTGGAAATCAACTCGGGAAGCCTCCAGGGTCTTGCCTTTGGTTTCGAAATGCAGAACTTGGTACTGTTCTGCAGAGTCTAAAAGCTCCAGTGTGCACTATGGGTCTCAGTTGTCCTTAAGCACCACAGGTAAGCATGTTTTACTTTAGTAAAACACAAACAAGTTTTGTCCTTAAGCACCACAGGTAAGCATGTAATAAAGTAAAAGACAAACAAGTTCAAGGGATGAGGGTGTGGGATCACTGACTGAGATCTTTTTTTCTGGAGAAGATCCACATCTTGCTCTGGTGATTTAAGACTTTTCTTGCCAAGTATATCAACACAGCTATTTAAAATGTAATGTTTGCTAGTCAGGATTGTTTCTACATGAAAACAATGAATGAAGTGGAATGGAAACTCACTTGACAGCTTTGATTGTACTAAATGAGAGAAATAGAAAATCTAAATGCTAAGCATGCAGTACATTGGTGCCTGCATCACAGATACAAATATTTATTTTCCAAAGTTATTTTTTAATCTAATAGTTCCATACAAGTAGGTTGAAGAAACCAGTAGTGCTTCATTCTAAAGATGACCTAATTCTTAAAGCAACCAGATTTATTTCTTGCATTATCTTTGTTGTCTGTATGCAAGAGTATTTCAGACAAAATAAAAGCTTTTAAATTCTCATTTATGGATTTTACAAACTTACATAAAAATAATTTCTTTATGTTTTAGTATAAAAATATATTTTAATTCTTTTTAGCTACTCTCCTTATCATCAGATTCCCTAAAGTGCTGAAGCAGCTTATTTTCCACTGAGGCCAATCCACATGTCTGTTTAAGTAATAAGTGCTCTTTGCATTGTCTGCATTTTTAGTAACTTGTTTTAAGATATGATAGTGAAAGAAAATGACTTGTCAGGAGCTGTAATGTAATGTATTTGAGGTTGAGAAAGTTTCTAAAAAAGTAGGAACAGGGCAAAATACAGTCTGGTGACACTTTTTCCAGAAAAAAATGAGCTAGAAATAATTGAAAATTGCATCTTGTTTTTTATAACTAATGTTGGGAGGAGAAAATCTGAATTTGGTGACAATTATTATGACCCCAAATGACAATACCTTTCTTTTAGTTCTTTTAATTTAAATAATTTTAATATTGTTATCTATCCGACTGGAGCCATTTGGAACTGAGGGCACACAGCAGCTTTTTAGATTGTGTTCCCAAATAGCAAGGAATACACTGTCATGCAAAAGTGAGACACAATATGACTTTCCTGGGGTATAATGAGGGATTTCAGAATAACTTCCTGTCTATCTTCTAGGAGAAAAAAAACAATTATCTTGTTGTTATTTCTTCAATATAACTTAAAAGGAAGAGCTTGTCTCACATTTCTCTTTCTTTTTGCTAGTATTTATGGAACACATTCAAAGAACTGGCAGAATTTTTAAAGATGTGAGGTGTATTTTCCTCACTTTCACAGTGAAGCACTAAGAAATGATTCTAGCCCTTCAGAAATAAACTCTTAAAAAAACCAAAACACTATATTTAACTTTATCTGCTTTTAAAATGTGATTGCAATTTATTCCTGTTAAAAATACAAGTGTCATGTAGAGGATATTTGGTCTTAAAATGAGGGCATCCCACAAAGGTTGCATTTAGATCTCATTAATCCATGTTACCAGCATCTGAGATGTGTCTGAGGGAATAATTCCAGTATCTGTTCTTTGAGAATATAATTTTTACTGTGTGCATTTTCGAATTCAAAAAATGAATTCAAGGCCTACGCTGCTTTTTGATTCAGCACTTTTTAATTTACATTTCAGTGGCTGCACTGGATTTGAATTGGGGCAAAGAAAGGTCTGTTCAAAGAGCAGGTCTGGGATACTAGGGGGCTCTAATACTGATTGAGAATTCCTCCATATGTAGCTCTGAGCAACTTGCTTGAACCTTTCAAATCACTTTGGGTAATTGCAAAAATGGAGGCTATACTGCAAATGTATTTTGCAGCTAATTAAAAGGATAAATTAATTGATTGAAATTAACTTGCAAATTTGTTTTCATTTTTATTCCGTCATTTTTTGCTGTTACTATATGCAGTGGTGGATATATTGAATGCGGATATAGGAGACTTCTGAAATGCTGGGACTGTCCTGTTCTTTCTGCGGGGTTCAAGTAGGCCGGAAGAGTGGATGAGTTCCCAGGAGAGGGAAGATGGAGGCCCTGGTACCCCAGCACTCTTCTTTGATCTGAGCTCATGCCCAGAAAGTGTGGAAAAAGAGAATGTTTTCTGGACCCAGAGCATCTTCTGATGCTTGACAATCCCCCAAAGCACAGAGAGGTGCCATGTCCGTGTCCTGGGCTCTGAGGAGCCACAGTGCCAGGTCAGGGTAGCAGTGGCTCCTGTGTACGTAGGCCCATGCCGGAAACTGCTCTGTGTCTCTGCTCCTGTTTTGGGAGTTTCCTGGGAAATTTTCTGTTCCTGTTTTGAAAGTAAAAATACTGGCCATATAGGAAGATCTTTACTGTATTCCTAGAAGCTACACTAATGCCCTGGTCTGGTCCAAATGCCTGGGGAAGGCGTGCACGTCCTTGTTACCTGCTCAACACCTCTCCTTGCCACCTTCGTCACGGCTTGTCCCCGCTGCGAGCAGGGCACAGGTCTACCAGAAGCTGCTTTGTGGGGCTTCATGTGCCAAGTTTGGCCCATGTATCCATCTGAATTGCCTACTGGGAGGTTGTGAAGAATGTGTGAAGTAAGTGGTCGCGCTTTTTCTGTATTACACCATCTGTCTCCAGACTTAGCTGTCTCTTGTCTGGTGGCTGATCTTGTTTGGTAATAAAAATACCTCTTAGGCTCTAACTAGATTTGCTCTCAAAATTAAAGAGGTACTTCAGCTTCTGAGCTGAGACCGTCTGCTGCTTAGTTCATGAATACAGCTAGGGAATAGTGGGTTTATTAACAGGCAAAAATATTTGCCTTGTTTAGAAAGCCATCCTTGTCTCCTGAAGAGAAACGATCCCTTGCTTCGGTCATCCCAGCAGTCCTGAGTCTGCATTGTGCCTCCTCCTTCTAGGAGAGCCTGTGAAACGTTGGCTTCTCAGATTATACTGAAGGTTTTTATGTTCTCTTGGGATTACCGAGTAGATATGTCTTGAATACTCTCTGGGAGGTAAAGTTGTCATAGATTAATAGTATTAATAATTTGTTGCTTATGAGCCACCAGAGCTCTAAGGAAGTTGTTCTATTAAATGGCATAGAGTATTTTTTGCAACTTTATTTGCCTCTTCATTAATTTTTGAACATGGTTAAGAACAGTAGAGATATTGCACATGCATAATATTATCTTGTTACTCTTTACAACAAGTTGTCTATAACTGTCCAACTCTTTAACTGACTGGTTGTAAGTGTTTAGTCTTCTGCTCTTCCTCACTTATGAATAGTGAATCAAATTTAATAACTTTTGAGCTATTGTTTAGTGTCAGCACTACAGAAATTATGTTGTGGCTTATACAGCTATTAAAAAAAATATGCTTTATTAGTGAGAGCTGTGTAAAATCTATGTTGCATAGGGGCTGCTTGGGGCTAGGGTCTAGGAAAGAGGGTGGATGCAGTTCCTGTCTGGAACTGAGGAAAGGGACATAGTCACAGTAGAGTTTTACATTTTTTCGTTTTTTTTTCAATTCTTTATTCCATTATAGGTTACACTATTTAGAGGCATAGTAAACAGCCTTAGCACATACATAGGTCTGTTCAGAAATGTAATAATTTCTAGGAAGCTTTGTGGGAAAAAAGAGTTCCTGGTCGTATTACAGTGGTTTTTTGGTTTTCTTTTCGAAGTTAGCTCTATCTCTGAGGTCTAGAGTTGTTCATCACCTATTCTCTGGTGCTGTCGTACAGACAGCTCCTGTTGGCTTTCTTCATTGTCATGTTTTGTGATAAGTAAATATACTAACCAAGAATTAAGTGTATTTAGGAGTTCAAAAATATTGATGTCCATTCCGGGAAAACAGTTTGAAGAGTATGTAAAGGGAGAGGGGCTCGTGACTGCTTGCCGACCCTTTTTACAGCTTTTAGGACTAAATTCCATTTATAGATGGACAGACATGTTTTCTGGGGGTAATTACTGGCTTCATGCTCTAGGCTGCAACTTGCCCTTACCTGTAAGCCAAGCTGTCAATGCTATGGGTTTGCTGCAAAGTGGGTATCATGTTCTGTTTAAAATTACAACTGGAATTTAGGTTGGTGGAATACACACCGACACACTGCAGCTTGAGATCCCACAGTGAATGTGCAGGCAGTTACTTAGGTCTGTTCATTATCTCAGTTTTAATTATCCATCTGAAGCTCACCTAAATGCCAGGAGTGGGAAGCAGTTTCAGGGAGTCTGTGCTTTTCACCTTCATGGTAATGTGTCTCAGAGGATCTGAAGGCCCGAAAGAATAATAAACTGTCAGTTAATAAGGTGGTAAAATTCTAAATTGCTGTTATCAGACCCCATATTTCTTTTGCAAATTAGAGTAGAATCAATAATCCAAACTCTTGGAGGAAGCAGTAAATGTTTTGTGTCATGTTAGGAAAATTTCTGTAGGCAATGTGTGATTAAGTAAAACGATGAGTTGTCTTCAAATAGATAGCTGTATCATGTATTTTCTTTTATGCTTGCAGGATCACAAAGTAGAAGAATTCATCAGTTCTCCGCTTTATTCAGTTATGATAATCAGTTACGAGATGCTACTGCGCTCGTTGGATCAAATTCAGGCTACAGAATTTAACCTCCTAATCTGTGATGAAGGACATCGTCTGAAAAATAGCTCTATTAAGACCACTACAGCCCTCAACAGTCTGTCTTGCGAGAGGCGAATCGTCCTTACTGGTTAGTAGCTGTGGTTACTTCTTATATTTAGTTATGCTAAAAGCACAAGGTGGGGTAAAGCATAAAGATATTTTAAGTACAGCAGGAGCACAGTATAGATTTGAGGCATTGCTGTTAAATTCAATATGTCTTGTGAAAACAGATTCTTTCCAAATATGTTTTATAAAAAATGCAAAATTTATCTAGCTTGAAGACTGGCAAGCCGTCTGGGAACTATAAGGGAATTAGGGCTGTGTTTACACACAAGCATTGTATTTATTTAATCAAATTGATTTGGAAAATAATTTCTTAAATTTATTTGTCACAATAACTAAATGTGCCGTCTCTATAGTTGCAGAGACAGTAGCTTATTAATCATGGTAAAGTTGTAGATTAATTAGTACTCTGAGTTATTCACATTGAAATAAGACATCTGTCTTCAGGATGCTGTCTCAACATGAAACTCTGAAATCAATGATTGTGCTTCTATCAGTTTCAAGAAAAAACTAACAAATGCAGGTTTATTTTTTCACTTTCAAGGCACTCCAATCCAAAATGACTTGCAAGAATTTTATGCATTAATAGAGTTTGTAAATCCGGGAATACTTGGTTCTTTATCGACATACAGAAAGATATATGAGAAGCCTATTGTCAGGTCCAGAGAGCCTTCAGCCACAGAGGTATATCATTAAAAAAATGCAATTATAATGGAAAATTCATAGAGAACATTGTGAAATTGTGAAATCCTATGGAATAAAAAATGACGTTTAAATACTTAAACTCTGACCAGGTTATTCAAATCAACCTTTTTTTTTGATATTACTGTTCATTCTCCATATTTATTTGTGTGCAAGGTCCTCATTCAGTGTTCTCAGTTTATCTCTAAACCTGTTAGGGGTACCAAAATAGTTGGAAAAATGGCATTCTGATATAGTATGGGACTATTAATCGTAAGGAAAGCTTTTCAATCCCCTATTTGAAATAAACTACTGTTGTTTTCCAAAGGAAGATGGGGGAATATATGCATCTTCAGATCATAACACCTTAGCTGCCTATTCATAAATCAGACAAAATGTATTCTTCCAACACCCTGCATTCCCACAAATACCATGCAAATTGCCATATGATTATATGCTATTCATTCACGGTTTCTTCACAGTGCTGCAAATTCTGCATGATTTTGTTGCTTCAGTCAAGGAGTTTGGGAATATAAATTGAGGCTTATATGTCTTCTGGGACATTATCTGCCATTGTTTAAGAAAGCAGACCTAAAACTAAGCTAATGCAGTCATACTAATTGGCAAAGCATCAATCATTATCGTCCTGTATCAGGAAGTGTTATCATACATTTAAACTGTTCATTTCTGTCTAATTCAAATCATAGAAAATTATTGTGATCACATAGCGAATTATTGTGGCGTCTTGATGGAATGCGAGGTTAGCACTAATTCTGTGCTTTGTCCTTTAGGAAGAAAAGGCATTGGGAGAAACACGAGCAGCAGAACTCACACGCCTAACTGGACTGTTTATCCTTAGGAGGACGCAGGAGGTTATAAACAAATTTCTCCCCACGAAAAAGGAGAGCATAATCTTCTGCCGACCAACAGTGCTGCAACTGGAATTGTATCGAAAACTGCTTAATTCTCGAGTTATTAGGTCCTGTCTACAAGGCAGGCTAGAAAATAGCCCTCATCTAGTATGTATAGGAGCTTTGAAAAAACTTTGCAATCATCCTTGTCTTCTCTTCAAAGCCATGAAGGTAGATATCTGTGTGTCATGGGGACATGCCTCCAATTAGTCATTTCAGCAAGCATAGAAATATGTTACAGCCAATGTGCGTGTTCCCTGAGATCATTTTGTACTCCCTGCTCACATATGACTTGCTTTTCAGGAGACAGGCTTTCAAAAATGGACGTGTAAGGAAATGCACACAGGGATGGCAAGAAATGCACGCAGGGATTTTATCTAACCTGTTTCCTGTTGCCTTAGAGTATTTGCTTGTTCTTTATGACTTGTCATTTATCCTCTTAATCTTGTCAGTGAATGCTTGTAGAAGTACATACAAATGTGAATTTTGCAAGCACCATTTATTAAAAAAATATTCTAAAGGAATATCACTTTGAATGCTAAAGCAGCTGGGTAAATCCTTTAATCTGAAGTTCTGACTGTAATGTTAAGTTAGATAATAACTTCCTCTGCTGCTTCCTCTGAAAACTCCCTGTTTTCCTGATCCTTCCTTTTTGTACCCTGCCCTCTTCAAGTTCAGTGACAGTGGGAGCTGCAGTGTCTGTGTCAGGTACTGATGTCTCCAGTTCCAGGTTTACTGGAACGCTATCACTGTGCATCTTCTAATTTGCACAGAAAGGTTCTCATTCCTTTAGGTAAATAGTGTAATAGCTAGAAGTTAAGAATACTTACTTTTATAGCCACTAATCAAAGTCCAAGCAAGCTGAGTGGAAATATAAATCTTCCTTTAAAGATATTCTTCCAGACTTTGCAGGGATATCCATAGCATGAACCTACCTGCAGCTGCCAGAGCTGCCTATGAATTTACTTCATAGTAGAAGTACCAGACTTGTTTTCATGAGTGGAAGCTTAACTCTTTAGAAACTAAAGAGATGGAAAGGTGGATGTAATCCATTCATTCCTGTGGCAGTTTTAGGATTTGGTTAGTTCCGTTTTCATGAGTGGAAGCTTAACTCTTTGGAAACTAGAGAGATGGAAAGGTGGATGTAATTCCTGTAGCAGTTAGTTCAACTCTTTCTTTCCCAGCAAGCATGATTTTTCTATTTTATTTTAACTCCATTATTACTTGTTAGCTTTTCTTCAGTTCCAGTTAAATAACTGAATATTAGTGATACCATCTTCTTAAAGAAATTAAACTTTGTGGTGTTTGGTAATAAGGTAGCATGGGATTTGGGAAGAACAAACAGAGTATTGATTTTTTTTTCCAAGTTTTGGATATGACCTTACTGTGTGAATATCTATTTGATCTTTTAGAAAAAGAAGTAGCAGTGAAGCATGTTTTCCAGTTCTCAGTATTTCAACTTGTACTCTACTTAGTTGTAAATAATGTCTTAAATTATAAGGTATAAACCAGTTTGTAAATGTTACCAGTATTTTAAACTGTGCTTGCAATGCAATATTGGGAATTATCATGCTCGTATTATACATTGATTTATACTGACTTTTGATATTTCATTAGCAAAGTTAAAACAAAATTATATTAGAGAGAACATGGAGCATTAATCCTTTTATTTTTCACAGGAGAAACAATGTGATTCTTCGTGTGAGAAACGTGCTGAATCCAGTCTCTATGAAGGTTTAACAGATGCCTTTCCACAGGATTTTACTGCTGACACTTTCTCTGAAACTTACTCGGGAAAACTGCAGGTGCTGGTGAAGCTCTTAGCAGCAATCCATGAACTCGGCTCTTCGGAAAGGCAAGTGTGAAAGGAAAACAAAAGGGAGATACGGAGGTGATCTTCTGGTGATTCTCTTTTGCTTTTCAAACATATAGTGACCTAACATTTAAAATGAAGGCTTTGCAAATGTACTAGGTATATTTATGTCTTATACTTGTGGCTGTTCCTTGTTAAATTATTAAACCAGGGTTTGGAGCTGGCATAATTTTCAGAGTTGCTCCTTACATTACTTCCAGCTAAAAAGAACTTTTCATACTGTGTTCCAAGAACAAGTGTTGTTGCCCATGCACTGTAACATACTACCTGTCCTTGCACAAGCTTTCTAATGCTTTGGATCTTTGTGAAGCAACTACTTCATGTATTAAATATTTAACATCACACAAAATATTTTTAATTGCTCACTGGTGTGGTCTTTTCCCTTTTACTGTGTTTGATGTTCAGTGCTGGCTGCCTTTTCTGTGTAGGAGATGTTTGCAGCAGTAAGTCCCAACGGGTGACCTGGCACTGCAGCTCCATATGTCCCCTGTGGTAAATGGCACTGACAGGCAGCAAAACCTCTTTGGATTATAGAATACACCAGGCCGGGTGCTGGGGAATGGCTCCTTTATGGGAATCTCACACATTCTTAGTGTATAGAATCCTAGAATCATTATGGGTCCCATGGTAAGACTTTGTGTGCGCATGGCCTAAAGTCTAGCTATTCTGAAAGTATTTAGCTTTGAATTTACATTTAAGTTGATGCAAATTGGTGCCTAAATAGGACAGGCTTTAATTCAGCAGTGGAAAGTAACAGCAGATCTCATAGCACTGTTATAATGTTTGTATATATATATATATATAAATATATATATGTATTTACAAATCAGAAAAGCCGAGCTTGTAACAGGTGCTTACATGAAGAACACTCATTGAAACCATGACAACTAAATATTTAAATGCACTAGTGCTATTTCAGGTAGCCAAAAAATATGGGAAGTTCTAGGAAAAAGCAGCTTCCCTGTATCACTGCTGTGAGAGATGCAGAGTTGCAACTAGTGTTGAAGCTTTATTTTGCAACTTTTAAAGTTTTGCTACTTAATTTCCATGCTTTTTTTGTATTGTTTTTGTTTATTGTTTGTATAATTTTTGTTTATTTTTTGTTATTTGTTTTTTTTAATTGTTTCTCTGCTTCCATCAGTACTAAGTAGTTTTACAATATACAGATTCAGTTCAATTCTCCTGATAATTTCCTTTCACTCTTGCTAGTGAAAACAAAATACGAGTTTTAGTTTGACTGACAAAAAGCAATCTTGCAAATTCTTTACAGACAAGTCTTGGATGCAGTCCATTTGTAGAGTTAACTATAACAAAAATAGTTTAAAACATTTTTAAATGCAGACTACCAGATTTCTCCAAATTATTTCTGTCTAGTTCTTTCATATTTATTTTTAATCAAAAATAATTTTTAAAATGGTGCATCTTTGATGGGATTTTGTAAATTCAATTTAGGTTAGAAAAGACCTCCAAACAAGATCTTGCAGCAAATGTTCTATCTGCTTACTTTGTTTATGGTTTAAATTCATTTTTTTCTTTGTCCTTTCCTTGTTCTCTGAGTAGAATTGTCCTGAACACCTGAAAGGATAAAAATTCTAGATTTACAGATCTCTGAAACTTATGCACTCAAGATATCTGAGGAAAAACATTGACACAGTATCGCCCATAAGTCTAAGGGACCAAGAGCTGATCCTCCCCTAACACCCTCCTGCCAAAACCCTGATGCTCAGGAAGTCCCCGGCCGCTGCTCATCCCCTTGCAGTCTCAAGCTGTAGACAAGAGCTGTTACCTTCCAGTTTGACTCAGGATTTTGTTTCCCAGAATTCTGTTCTATTTATGGGTGGGGTTGTATTGTTTATCTGATGTCATCAGTACTGAATATTTTTTTTCAATGTACAGGCTCAATTCCAATATCCTTAAATGTATAAGTCAAAATGCAGAGCCACCCATACTGTGCGTTAGCCTCCATGACACCCTCTGCAAATATCTGTTCTTTTTCTTAGTAGTGGCTATTTTGTGTGAGTAGTGATTTAAAAAAAAAATCTATCTTTTTGTTTGGTCCTGGGACTTTTGCAATGTCTGCATTAAGTGAAATTCTGTTGGAAAAAGTACTTAAAATGTGAATGCTTGACAATAGATATAATGCCTCCAAATCTTGTATGGGCTTCAAATTAATAGGAGTGGCTTGTATTTTATGTTTTATGAGTAATCTCAGATTGATGTGTAATTTTTACTTGTGATTTTTATTTCCTTATTCGTCTTCAGTAAGTTGTTATAGTACTTTAATTTTATCAAAGTCTAAGATAGCAAGATAACTTTTTTTCCCTTTTTGACAGAGTTGTGCTGGTCTCCAATTACACTCAGACACTGAATATATTACAAGAGACCTGCAAACATTATGGATACTCTTATACTAGACTTGATGGACAAACTCCTGTCTCCCAGAGGCAACAGATTGTTGATAGTTTTAATAATAAATTCAGCCCAGCATTTGTGTTTTTGCTGAGTTCAAAGGCTGGTGGGGTAGGACTGAATCTCATTGGAGCATCTCATTTGATCCTGTATGATATCGACTGGAATCCAGCTACAGACATTCAGGTCTGACACATCTGAGCACCCGTGGGTTGGGATGGGCATCACATGAATTTTTAATTGATGCTGAAATGTCTGACTTTACATGTCTTATTGCTACCTGATCATCATTCCGTTGCATCGGGACACACATCATATTGGAGGAAAGTCTAGCTGAGGAAAAAAAAAACAGACATGTTTCTCTCTCAAATTATATATGTTGATATCATTAGGAGCCTCCTTGCAGTAAAAAATGAAAAGAGTAATTTCTAGTTTCCTTCAAGAAGTTAGTCATGTGTCTCTTGATTACCTGTTAAATAGAAAGCAGTTGTTTTCTAAAAAGAAAAATAAATTATGATTAGATTGTGCAGTTAGTGTTGCTGAGGGGGAAAAAAACACCCTGCCATACCTGAGAAAAAGGGAGAGGTCCCGGTGAGAATTAAGAGAATGAGAAATCATGTGGCAGCCATGCTAAAAGAACGAAAACAAAGCCAAATGACATACTGTTCCTGTAATGGGGCTTTGGATCTGAAGGGATTATTTAGCTGGCATAAGATGCTTGGTTAAAATACTTTTTAACAATAGCAGTTCAAAAAAATCTTCATATAAGCACAGAAAGAAACTCTGATTATACGGTAATGCTAAGTGCTTAATACCTGAAGTAAGCTCTGATTCTTGGCTTTACTCCTGTTTCAAGTGTGAATCAGTACCCTCATGTGGTCACTTGTCTCCTTGCTTGAAGCAGAGTTGGGTAAAGCAGTCAAAATTGCTCGAGTTTGCCAAATACCTGTACCAAACATGTATTTGACAAAAATCCTATCACTGTATTCCCTCACTTAGTTTTTGTTTGTTTATAGTTTAAAGGGTGTGCAAAATACTAATTCTACAATTTTATTAGAATGGAAATGTCATTTTTAAAGACATATTGTTGCAAAATTTTTTTTTGGAGAAGAGAATGATGAATATTCCTGTGAGATACTATACTCACTTATTAATTCTTAGCAGATATAAAGAGAGGATTACTAGCAGCAAGGAAATGAAACCCCTAGTTTTACACACAAAGAAAGAGGAGTATTAATGTTAGGAAGCAAATTATACTTTAGTAATTATTTACAGTTAATATCAGGATGCTTTTATACAAAGACAATTGTTAAGGAATGCTTTGTTGGCAACATCCTTAGGAACGAGCTAGCAGAACTGGTAATTTGATGTTGAACATACAACTGTAGAGCTGCCTTTCAAAAATCTTAATCTTTTTTCTTTCTGTAGGCAATGGCCAGGGTGTGGAGAGATGGTCAGAAACATGCTGTGTGCATCTACAGACTGCTAACCACAGGTGGGGGTTGATGTTCAGGCATATTCTAGAGTAAGAATAGCTACTGACATTTTGTCAATAAAGGAATAAGAGGGAATGTTTTTGGAAATCATTCGTTCTTTGTATATACACACGCGCACATGCATGTTCATTTGGAATTGATTTAAAATAGAAATATCACATCGATTCATTTGTCTTCGATTTGCTCTTGTTTTAATAGTTAAAAATAATATTCTGGCCTTTCTGCTGAATCTCATTACTAAAAAATGGATTGGACTTACCTTTTTGAGAGGTATTGGCCAAAAATGAATCCTGTGTATCTACTATTTTTTAATACAGGCTCAATAGAAGAGAAGATTTATCAAAGACAGATCAGCAAGCAAGACCTTTCTGATGCTGTTGTAGACCTTTCCAAGACATCTGAACACATCCACTTTTCCATTGAGGAGCTTAGAAATCTCTTTACACTTCATGAAGATTCCAGCTGTGTTACCCATGACTTGCTTGAGTGCTATTGTATGGGAAAGAAAGACTATCAAAGTGAGTTTCTGTTTCATTATCTCTAGCCATTTCTGAGGAAGGGTATGCACTATCAGTATACGGCCTGTCACTGGAGAAAACTCTGACTCCCAGGAAAATAGGATTAAAGTAATGAAATTCTTTATGGGATCTTCCAGATACTGCCCGATTTTTCTAATCCATACGAGACGCCTTCATAAGATGAAGAAAAGAGATTCACTACTTGCAGTTACTAACAGTGCATGTATCCCACCTCTTAATTCCTTGAATTAGCTACGGCCAGCAGGACTAGTAGTATTTTGTTTCTAATTACAATTTTCTAATTATAATGATGATTATCTGATAAAAAATGCAACAAGTTAGTTTAAAAGTTGTTTAACTATGGAAAATTACACCCGCAAGTACCAGATAGAGATCTGGATAATAATTTGCCAAATCTCTGAATATAGCCTTTCATTTTGCAATTATTAGCTAATATTGATGCAGGATGGTTAAAAGAATCATTTGAGAAATTCTGGAAGATGCCCTGGCAGTCGTAAATCTTTGCATCTATCCTTGTGGGAATGTGACTCCCTTGATCTTTCTGCATGTCAGAATTGTGTCAATACCATGTTACATGTAAGTTTTAGTAAGAAGAAGGATTATATAAAAAAAAAGATTATGTTGCTTAAGTTATACTTACAACCCATTACAATCCCTTCTAGTTTTTATAGCTCATCCAGTTTCTCAAAGGAAAGAGGGCCTATTGCCCTGTTACATTTCTTCCCTTTGGGCATGAAATATCCACATGCAATACATGCAAATGTGGTAACGAAGTGCAAATATTGATCTCTTCTGAATGTCACAGTAAAATCATGACAAAATAACATAGTAAGATATCACTATAAAAAGAGGCAAAAAATAGCTACCAGAATGTTCATATTCTCAATAAACACAAATAAAGGATGAAGTAAATAGACCCAGTGTGACTAGTTTGCTTGATTTTTTTTCTCCAAATATATCTCCATTAAATGTCTTTGTACACTTCTTTAATAGTGCACCTCCTGTTTTTACATAGGGAAGTATATATCTGTTCTAAAATATAGCAACTTCCATTTAGGCACTATTGCAAGACCTATGTGGAAAGGGCGCCTTTTCTGTTAAATCCTAACAATTTTATAACATTACTTCTGTGGTGAACACAGATGCATATAATTTTATTTAGCATTTTTCAATTGTTTTATTGTTCTTGATTGATTTTCTTATGCTTTGAAAAGCCTCAAGAGGCTTCAGCCTCTTGAACTTCCAGGCAGTGAATAATCAGAATGTAATCATGTCCTGGTCCGAGTACAGAGTCCTAGTGGCCCTTTGTGGAGTAAATCAAGGAAAACCTGACAGTTATTCTTAAATGTAATTAGTGGAAAAGAGCAGGGGAACATCTGGCTTCCTAAAGAGCAGGCAGCCGACTCAGGAGTTCCCAGTCACGGTGTTGTGAGGGGTTGTCCTCAGTTTGATCCCCTCAGTGTGCGCCGTTCCAGTAATCATGATTCAGAGGATGAACTGAAGAGGAACAAAACAACATCACACAGGCTGCACAATATCTAAGCTTAAAATGAATTTAAGACTGAATTATCTTAGCTCTGGGGTCTCTGTTAGACCTACCAGTTGCCACTGGGTATTCTTGATAAAGCTGCTGCCTGTTCATACTGAGGCCATCCTTAGCAAACTGCAGAACTCTCCAAACGAAGCAACTACCTGGATGCTGCCGATGAGCTGCTTGCTCTTGTGGTTTTCAGATGAGCTACAGAGCTGAGAGCCTATTATTTTATGTCACCATGGTTTGGTTTATGGAGTGAAGAATTTCGAATCCCTAAAGACTTGAGAAGGGCATATATCCTAAATTTTCTTCTGGCCAATGAAAAAAGACATTTCAAGCCTAGCATAAATGTGCATCATATGTCAGTCAAGAGGGAAGTCTTATGATTATAAGTCTTTATGGGCTCTCCAGGTGAAAATTTCAAAATCTCAAGGAAGCTGTGAGTCATCATGCAGCTCATAGCACTGATCTTTCCTAGGGAGTGCTGCTGTGAAAAGTATTTGGCTGCACGTTTTAAACCAGTAACAACAGTGACAGAATTCCGTACACTCTTTTTTTTTCATGTGTGTGAGATGAATCATTGAAGCTAGCAAAACATAAGATACTCTGTAACGACCTGGGATTGCTTGGGGCTCTGGAATCCTTTGTGCAAAGTGAATTTGTGCCTATGTGCTTTTCAGGAAATAGGCCTGTCCTTACTGTGGCAAACAGTATATTCAATATACTGGTAAATAGCTTGGTACAACCAAGATGTACAAAGTGTGCTAGAGATCAACCTCTGGTGTCTTGAGCCAATGAGATAGCCAGCTATCCAAACTATTCTTAGCCAATTGGAATGACTCCTCTGGGAGGAAACAGAAGCCAGCACGAGATTTGCTGCAGCCTACTCCCATACTCAGAGTGACTTAAAGAATGCAGGCAGCCAAAATGTCGCAGAATTAGGAAGAGAGCACAGGGGAAATTGCCAGATAAGGTATTTCCTTTTCCATCTATTTATAAAAGGATTTGTCTTTGTGCTAACATATGGTGGTTTTGATAAACTCAATCAATGAGCAAGAAACAGCCTTTTCCCTCTGACTGTGCATACGTATGTTTGGTTTTCATTGACATAGAAGGATTACACTTACTGTTCTATTTTCCCCTCATTCGTTATCACCAACTGGCTTATTGATTCAGACCAAGAATTTTCTGTGTCAGTTTTCTCTGATTACTCTGCTGTATCATTTTTCAGATCCTTCCTCAGAAAAGCCTACTGTGTTGAGAGGTTGCCAGCTTGGACAAAATCATGGGAAGACTAATTCAAAGAAACCACTCTCTATGTCACAGTTGATGCAATGGAAGCATTTCTCTGGGCAGTATCAGATTCTAGATGATCCTTTCCTTGAAAGGATAAAAGAGAATGTTTCCTTCATTTTCCAGAATGTAACTAGTCCAACTTCTACCTAATAACTTAAACTGCAAGGAAATTTGTGAAATACACTCATTTTCATCGTCCTCCTCCAAGATATAGTAAGCAAACGTTATGTGGTTACCTTGTGTTCTTCCTGCCAAATTCTGTTTTGTGTCTTTCTGATGAGGTTTCTGTGCAAATGTTACGCTGATGTTTATATAAGGTTACAGCTATTACTAAGTTAATTACTATCTTATTTACAGTAATTATCTTACAGATTTATAAATCTAACTTTCCTTTCAACTCTTCTATTATTTTGGTATCTTAATTAGTAAGGTTGTTTTTGTACATATTCACATGTATGTTTTCTCTGTTTTTTTTTTCAGTTTTCACTTGATCATAATGATTTATTATATGTAAATGTGAAGCTGGCAACTCTTTAGCCAGATTTCAAAAGATAGATTAGGCATTACGGTATGCATAAGTATGCATGCTGTTTACAAGAGTCTGATTGGAGTTCTGTTTTGACAACTAAGTTATAGATCTGCATAACTTCAGCTGTATGAAAAGATAGCTGTTTTGTTTCCTTGTATTTAAAATTTAATGAAACAGGGAGTAAAAGCCACTGAGGTTCAAAATTCTGAGACCACAGCTTAATATTATGTCAAAATCCTAAGAAATTCTTCTGTTGTTTTTACTTGGGAAAATAAACACTCTTCATTCCTCAGAGTGTAGACTTACCTCATTTTTACCTAACTCCATACAAGGACACTTTTCGTTGAACACTGGACCATTGCACACACTTTCATTCTATTCTTCTGCCAACTCCAAAGCCATCAACACCATGGCTACTAAACGGTGTCCGAAAGTGCCTCATCTACACATTTCTTGAACACTGCTAGGGATGGTGACTCCACCACTCCAAGAAGACAGCTCCACCGTGGTGATCTTGCACTGTGCCGCGGGATGTACAACCTACTAGTATTTGGCACGTGTTGTGATCCTTGTGGCTCATTAAAAAGCCCAACTAACTTGCAGAAAACAACTCAAATTGGCTTGTTCTGCATATTATAGTAGTTAGTGCTCTCCCTCAAGTACACAAACCTTTTCCTTACATGCTGATGTTGTTCAGAAACTGGAAATCTCATGCACTGTGCAATGCAGGTGTAGTAACTAACATCTCTTCATGGTTCATATCTATTTCAAAGTGGATTTTTTTTTGAATTTCCTTTTCCCCTGGTAGCTAAATGTCACAAGCAAATAATGAGAAAACATGCAAGAGTTATGACTGAGAAAGTCATTACATACAAACACTGGAAAAGGTAGGTTTTGTTGGCATGGAGTTGGTGTTCTGGGTGACAATTAGATGGATGTTAATGTCTTGACCAGAGTATTGCTGTTTATAGAATTTAATTCTTTAAAATTTTAGGCTGTCTGTTACAAACAGCTTGTTCTTCACCCTGTATGTGACGGAGCTTGGTGGATGGAACATGTTGGGTGTGCTGTTGTGCAACCCATTTTCTGTTAGACAAAAGCTGTCAGGTGTCTTAGAGTCCGCACAGGCGACATAGGTAAAAATTTGCTATGTGAATTAAAGCCATATTCTAGCCAATCTTTAAATTAATTAATGTAATTAATAATAATCTGAGATCAATAATACTTGGATCTGTGCTGGCCAAAACTTTCAAAAACTTCTGCTCTTGTCAGTGGTTGTAGGAAGCATGCCAGCATTCTCTGTTCTCCATATTCGCTGATCTCCTGTGTGATTTCTTGCATCCACATGAGATAGTGGATGCCAGGATGGTTCCGCTGCCATTTTGCTGATGAAGCCCTGGTCCATCAGTCCATCCAGTGCCGCTGAATACCCACATTGGTCCTCTCTGGTTTGGAGCAAAACAACTGGAAAGACCGTTGAGGGAACTTGGACATGAAACAGGAGTAAGTTTGCCTCAGGGCCCACACTATGCTGTGTTTCATCTTCTGTGCCCAAGGCAGCCCTTCAGGGGCATCTCAGCAGGCCTTCTAAACTCGTGTTGGTGTCTGCCCTCAGACAGCCCTACCTGCTGAGGCATCGTGCACTGCTCTACCCAGTACTGTAGCTCCTTACTGCCAGAACGCAGGTCTGGCACAGAAGCCCTGTTATTGCTTGACCTGCAGGGTGGGTTTATTTTTGTCAGCGTAAAAAAAAAACAAAATTGTTGCTGGACCATCATAAATCTTTTGGGGTCAGAGAAGATGAGCTCCAGACACACATTGCTCTATGTTTGAGTATGATCTAGGCTCAGGACAAGTTCTAGGGGAGATCCTTTGTGGCAGTTATGACAGAATGAGCTGTAGCACTAAGTAATGCCACCTCGATGTTAAAAAGCGCAAAGCACTCGCTACAAACACAGGCAATCCCAATTCCTGCCCTGCTGTGCCACATTGCACTGCAACTCTGGTGGCAGGTCCAACACGGTTATGCTTAGTGGGAGGCCTGGTGGAAGTCCTCCAGCACGCACCAACCAGCCAAACATGCACCCCTCTCTAAGCCTTCAGAGTTCTGGGCTTGACTGCAGCATGTATGTGCTGCCTAGTTGCTCAGGGAAGACAATAGGATCCAAATAATCATACTGCCTATGATATTACCCATGATGTGAATTGAAGCTCTGATTCTGAAATTTGGTGTCTCCTGAAAAATGGGAGTTCCCACTGGAAGAATAGGTCTGGAAGATATAGGAAGCATGACTACAGACTCAGATTTATTTTCCCATCTATGATCCCCCCACAGTAATCTACAAAAGCCTGCAAAATGAGACTATTAGCCCGTCCTGCTGGCATAATCATAGTATAATCAATATTTTTGTACAGGGTGCAACATAGGGGGATGTGACCTTCTCCACCTATAGGTGAAAGGTTTCTGCTATACAAAGGCCTCAGGGTGATTTTATCCTAATATGGTCATTTTACCCTAACATAGTTGTTCACTGATCTGTTGAGGATTTCAAGTCTCTATAAGACCCTTTAAACATACCTGGAGCCTTGGAGAGTGAGGAAGGTGGCTGGTGCTGAAAGGCAAGTGTTAGGTTGTAGTAGATAGTCTCAGGTGGCATCTGGATTTATTGCTAGAGGTGGAAGGTGTAAAGCATTATGTGTTTATATTGCTTGGTCCCAAAAATCATTACTAGCCACCTAGCCCCAAATCCTGCTCTGTAGAAGGCGAGAGGCTATGGATGTCAAAGTCATAGCTGTGTCCTAGTGCTGTGCTGGAAACATGAACTGTAGCTGATGTCCTTAGCTGCCTATTCTAGTTTTTAGCAGATACAAGGTTTCATCTGCCTCATGGTCATTCACATGGATCCACCCCAAAGCACGAAGCCGACCTCGCAGTAGCTCTGAAATGGTGGCTTCTTGAGTGCCACAATGAAAAAACAGCAACAGAGATCACAGTGGCAGGCAACATAGACCAAGGGCTAAGCAAAGGTTTCCAACTAGTGATGGGCCTTTATCAATGCTGCAGAATCGGTATATGTGTGTGCATGAGGCAGCAGTGGCTGCTGGACAGACCTGTGCCACTGCAGATGTGGAAGTTTGGGCGTTATCAAGTGAGTAAGCGACGTCCTTCTGAACTGCAATCTAGGTGTGTTGGAGGAAACTCACACTGAACGACACCGATGTGAGCTGGCCTGGAGAGCAAGTGCTCGCTCTGGCAGAGAGCAGGTCACAGAGATGCCAGACCCGTGTTCTCAGGGAACAGCCTGCTAACCTCTGCATGGCACCTCCGAGCTCTGAATCCCGCTGGGCGAGGAGTGCTGTTGAGCAGCCCTCAGATTCAGCAATCCACAGCTCGCAGCTGGGAGGAGGTGATTTTGGAGGAATTCTGTGTTTCTGGTGCAGGGCACACTGCCAAGGAGACAAGTGTGTTCTGGGTTTAGAACTACCCTGCTTTTAAAAAGTAGAAGCAGTCGCTTAGTGAGACATCAAGTTTTATTGACCAGTTTCATGACTATTTTTGTTGATTCAGTTTTTACACATGCTGGCACATTCTTCTTTCTTTCTTTTTTTTTTCAATTCAGATGATGCCCATGTTGTTGTTCACTTGCAGACTAGCATTCCAAAATATATTCAATTTTGTCAACAAAATGCATCATTTTGGGTGTCATACAAGTCTTTATGATAACTGCAACAGACATATTTTGCTTTATCGCAAGAGGCGCTATCAAGTCTAGTTAAAGGTCTGCCTTCTTCAGAACTCATGAAGTTCTTTGACTTGTCATCTGCTGCAGAAAGGGTGCCAAATGGTGACTGAATGATTCCGTATAAGCTCACAGGAATTTCTTACAATGCCAGATATGGAACAAATTTTTTCAACTGCCTGGGGTTACCAGCAGGACTTTGCCAAGAGAGATTCCAGGCCTTGCAGGCACACAAAAGGAAAGTAGTTCTTTCATGTGCTTTCCACTGAATGAAAACTTGATGTAAATCATGGTTGTTTATGTGTGGCTTAAATAATGTGCTTGTGGCTAGAAGATGTGGGAAGGCTACAGAAAACACTGAGGAAAACCACTTTTGGCTTTATACAATGACTGAAGAATGGACAGAATTGAAATCTCTTTTTAGCAAGCTAGGCGAGTCTCATACAATCCTACACAGAACTTAACTGTACATACAGAATTCACAACATATGATGTAGTGCTTCACTCCCAAGGGATGAAGAGGCAGCAAGCATCACAGAGTCTGGGTTTGGATAAATAATGCAGATCATAGCCCCCTTCAGGGTATTTTACTAGAATTTCCCTCATTAGGTATGTTGGTTGCTGCTATCTTTTACCCAACTTTTCATCAATATGTTGAAATCTGTCATCAATATGTTGAAATCTGTATGCCTATTTATAAGTATCAGCTGCCTTCCTTCTTCCAGTCTCCTTCCTTGATGTCAGCTTGAGCTCTCCCTATGTGCTTTTGTTTGCTTAGTTTGATTTTTACTAACTAAATAACATAGCTCTTCATTCTCTTTTAATTCATTTCCTTCCAAACAGGAAGATGGCAGTCACTGGGACCTGTGCCCCTACAAACT